TTCAATTATGATGGTCCAGATGGTTTCAATTATTACTGCGATGACATTAGAAAAAAGAAAATATTTTTACAAAATGAAGATCTGTGGGAGACGGAGGAGTAATAGTTTGGGGTGCGTTTGGTTTTTTTCAAAAAAAATACGATTGGTTTTATTACTAGTAAATTAAATGCTAAAGTATATAGAAAGTAGTTGGATGATCATTTAAAGGATATTTCACGAAAATTTGGAAACACGTATTTTATTTTCTAGCATAATAATTGGTGCATTATAGAGCAAAGTCAAATATTCCATGGTTTACCAGCTAGAAAATTCAATTATTAGAATGGCCACCACTCTTACGTGGTTTAAAGCCCAACTAGCTAAAATGCCCCAAAATACGGGGCATCTTAACTAGTCGTATTTATGCAGAAGGGAAACAATATTCAAATTTTGATGAATTGAAAAAGGCAATTGTACATGTTTGAAAGAACATATCTTTTGCTGATCCCAGAAAACATTCGGAGAGTATGTAATTTCGGGAATCAGTGACCTGGGTAATTATATATTAGATTCCCGCCTAAAAATCAACTTTATTTTTATTTTTAAGGTTTATAAAATGAAATGATCAAAATAAAAAAGTTAATTCTAAGAGACTTATATATTTTATATTATTTATATGTTTTCTAAAAGTATAAGTCTAAAGGCGGTTAGATTCTATTAAAATAAAATTAGCTAGGAATTAATCATTACAAAAAAAACAAAAAATGTAATATTAAAAGTGTTGCAAGAACCAAATTCTTGTATAATAAGAACCAATTTTATCATGAACTAATTTCATATGCTTATGAAACTTATGCTCAGAAAGTTATAATTTTTAAAATGGACGCAAAAAGCATTAAAAATGTCTGGTTTAAGTCTCGTACCGTGTCCCAAAGTTTAAACAAACGCAGATTTGCTTAAACTTTGTTGTCATACTTTATGTGATTGGTGTCACTCATTTTAAACTTTCATACCTGTTTTAAAATAATCAATACATTTGTAGTAAGAGATAGATATAAAATAAAGGTATTTTGGAAAAGCTTCAAAATAAATATACCTTTCATTTTAGCATTTTGAAAAATAGATGAAGGATATGAAATAACAAAAGAGAACCGCTATCTAATGAATAGTCCACCGATTACTTTTAATAAAAAAAAATATATTTAACAAAAATTATACAATGCCTATACAAATGTAGCTTGATAAGTTACTATTTGGTCTCGCTAGAAACATAATTTATGATGTAGTACTGAAATATCTATTTGTTAGGGTTTTAGTACGTACATCGACTGAGGATTTGAATTAGGGTGGATAATATTTAGATACGAAGAGGATTTGTAACTATCTTTTCTTTCTTTGTCTGAAAACTCTTTAAATTAAATTTAATACTTTTTTAAAAATTAAATCTGATAAAATAATTCAATGTCAAGTTTCAATTGATGGAATTTGGCAAAAAAGAGGTCACTCAACATTTTATAGCGTAATTACAGCAATATCTATTATATCAGACAAGTGCATTGATGCTGTTGATGACATCAAAGTAACAGGACTCACAAGCAAGCCACAAATGTCTCTTAACAACCATCTGTTGCTATGAAAGACCAGATACTATTACTATCTTCAATTAACCTGTTGAAAAACATAAGCAAGCAATATTCTAATAACTTGAGTGCATGAGACATCTCCATCACATTTCAATTGTTCTGAGAAATGGATCGAGGCAACAATCAGGATAAAAAATTAACAAGCTGTTGATCAAGGTCTTTCTCAACAAATTAACAATGAAGCAGAAAGGTGGAGAAGTATTCTTAAGAGAACTGTGTCAGTGACTATGTTCTAGGCGGAAAATATTATTGCATTGGAAGCTCATTAAAGCTGTACACCAAAAATAATGAGGACTTCTTTGGTCTTCTCCATTTACTTAACCAACTTGATCCAACTTTGATGGAGCACTTACGGCAAATTGAAGACGTTCACAAATACTAAGTGTTAACATTCAAAACAAATTCATTAATCTCTTTGATTTGTCTTAAAAAGAAGCTGTTGTAAACAGGGTAATGTTTGTAAAATTAGGTTGGAAGTTAGGATAAATTCCGTATCAGCAATTGGATACCAATACAATGACGTTATTGAAGCTCTGGAAGCTCTTTTAAAAAAAATTTTTTTTATCTTACTTATTAAAAACCCTTTTATCTTACTTATTAAAAACCCTTTTATCTTACTTATTTAAAAAATGAAAGCGATGTCAATAAAACTGCTCTTAATCAAAAAAAACACACTACCATTATACTCGATTACCCATACCAATTTACCATTATACCCATCTTCTAACCAGCCGTAAAGCATTCACGGAAGCCCTAAGGTGATTCCAATAGAAACCCAGATATAAATTGCGGCAAAATCTATACACCATATATGGATCCAACTGGGACCCAGATCTATTTACAGCCCGAACCTAATCCCAGTAATCCTGGCTCAATTCCACTCCATTCCAGCCAGAACCCAGCTGCAGTGGTTAACTGGTTTGTCAGTAAACTAAAATTTAGAACTACATTGTTTGCACTATCTGATTTTACAATTCTTAGATTACCTTCACAATCCTTAGATTACCTTTACAATCCTTAGATTACCTTTACAATCCTTAGATTACCTTTACAATCCTTTGATTACCTTTACAATCCTTAGATTACCTTTACAATCCTTAGATTACCTTACAATCCTTAGATTACCTTTACAATCCTTGAATCGAATGTATATATATTTATCATTATGGTAATTGGTATATATATTTATCATTATGGTAATTGGTAAATGGTGTAAGTATTAAAGTATTGATGGTAGCACAAATAACTTATATAAGCAACTATTATTGGAGGGAGGGGACGCTACAACTACGTTTTCCCGGGCACCGCCAATCCGCTGAACGGAGATTAACCAACAAATTACTTAATCTTTACAAAATTAGTTTCGAATGGGTGTTAGTCAAAATTTATATAATATGTATACCAAATAGAAAAGTTTAATAATCAAATTTTCCTTTAAGTTGTAACCAGCTTGTGTAATTGCAACGTGACCAATTTACTGGACAAAAACTGAAACCCAATTTAAGCTTGCCATTAGCAATAAAGAATACTTTTTTTTGTTGTTGTTTTTAAAGAACTTAGCAGTTAAGATTTACTTGAAAATTGCACACACATTCTTATCAGGGATTACATTTTATAATCTTGATATTTCAAGTATATTTCTTTAGCATTGCCAAACGTATTTATAGAACGTTTTCAAATATATCTCTCTAAAATAAAAAAACTATTGAAATAACAGTAAATTTTAGAAATTATTGATTTTAATAAAGATATGAATGGATTGTTGAGTTTTTTTAAAAAGTTGGGAAATACAAATCGGATGTTCGAATTCAATCAAAACTTTCACTAGCAGTAAGCGTGTGTATAATTTATAAACTTTTTACTTTATACACATTAAAGACGTAATAAGAGAAGAGAAATAATTAAATATAAAGAAAGTGACATAAAATATAAAAGTATTATTTTATACAACTACCTTGAGCTTTGAAGCCCGATTTAAAAAATTACCAGTTTTAATATTTATAAATAACGAACCCATCTATTATTTTTATCCAAGTTGTTTTTTTATGTTCGGTAGTTAAGTTTTTTTTTTTTTCTTTAAAGCTGCTCAACGCATCCCTACTAGACAAGGTGTCACATTAACTAGGTTTTAAAAAAAACACTAAGACTAAAAAAAAACAACTAATTTTAATCGAATTTAAATTTGTAAAATATCAATACTTAAGTGAGCCAGATAAAAAAATTTATAAGCATCAAGGAGAAAAATAGCAAAAAACATTTTTTGTTTTAGTCCAAAATTGAAAAAGTGCCTGTGTATCTTACTCAACTGGTTTCCAGCAATCTTTTGTTACGCATTGCCCAACTTACCCTTGTGCTCAACTAGCATCGCTCTACTATATGTATTTTTTATTGATTAATATTTTTTTAAGTTTTGAACAACTTTAAATGTTTTGTTGGTGGCGGTGGTGTTATATGCCATATATCATACATTCATATACTGATGTTTATATTAGAACTGATAAAGAATTTGTCAGTTCTAATATTTGTCAATCTGATAAAGAATTTGTCAGTATTTAGTAATAGCATTTAACCAGGAAATTAGAACTCTAACCACTACACCACGGTTGCTAAAGTTAATGCATCAATATTTCAAAAAATATAAATATTGTTATTAGAATTAATAAACTTTTATAAGAATATTACCTACTTTTTTTTTAAATACTAATTATTTTAAATACATAATCTTTATAAATAAATTTTTTTAAGGGGCAATATATTAAATGCGGTGTTTTTTTAAAAAATGTCTGGTTTTTACCACCAAAGTTTTGCATTCCTGACGTCATTTGTAATATAATGTTGACGTAAAAAATATAATAATAAAAAATAATAAAAACCAGACAATTGTTTTACTTGAAAATAATTTTTAGTAAAAAAGAAGTACGTAAAGAATATACATTTTATATTAAAACAATTATTTTCTTCAATTTACAAATAATTTATTAGTTTATATTTAGAATAATAGTAACATACAATTCATAATTCACAAAGATAACAATAATAATAATAACAAAATAAATTTTTATTTAATACGGCAATAAAATAAGTACTCACAAAACTTTTAAAAAAACTTTTTTTTTTCTAAAAATTTTTTACAATTTTCATGTTTTGATTACAAAAAAGTTTTTCCCCCTCCGTTTTAAATCATTATCTAATTGATGTTTAAAGATAATTACGGATATACTTAAACTGTGGTCGTTAAACTTAAAATATCGATATTTTATAAACTGTTAAATCAACAGAAGGAATTTGTGTCAACATTGAAACTTTTGCCGAAATCAATAGAATTAAAATGACTTCGAAGATTAAAACAAACTCCTACGTTGTGACTTTTTCTCTAAAGCTTTTTCAGTGCGTTTAACAATCGAAAGCAGATGAAGATTTAATGTGATATGTTTGTAGAGTTTCATTCATGAATAGCTCCAAGATTATTTTTTTTATAACACGCTCAGTTTATTAGTAACAATGAAACTGTTATCTCATGGCATTATAAAAACAGGTAACTTAGTAAAATCACCACCGTTAAACTCTAGAGGTATAAAACGATGGCATAAAAGATTTTTCATTTTTTACGATTCTTGCCGAGCATTACGACCGATACGCCCCGGTTCAACTGGCATCGAACAAAAATTAAATAATGAAGCTGCTAAAAGCGGTTCAAAAAAAAGATCTAAGAGTTTTCGTGACACTGTTCGAAGGTTTACAATAACAAAAAAAGTCTCAGAAGAAAACAACGAAAAACTTGAAGATTTAGTGTTGTTATACTATGAAAGTGAGGAAAAAGAACGCAAAGGTGCTTTACCAATTGGTATGTTGTTAGCATATTTATTTTTTTATGCACTTAACTTTAGTTTACAGAGAATTATGGGAAGAATTTTAAAAAAAAAAAATGTTGTTTTCCGTCTACGATGTTTGTAGACGTGATATATTCTAATGATCATTTGTCTAAAGGTAGGAACCATTATATTATATGGAACCATTTAAAACACGATAATAATAATAATAATTGTTGTTGTTATTATTATTATTATTATTATATAAACTAAAACGCTCAGAAAATTTTTATGTATAACTAATTTAGAAAACTTCACCGTCATGTTTTTAATAAGTTATAAACACACGAGGTACCAATAAAGTTCTATTTTTTGCTTAGCAATACGAGGGGAGGTTCTAACTAAATAGACAATTTAGCGAACATCAATAAGTTTGACGGATATGAATATAAGCAAAAAAAATTTAATAATGCGTTGGCGGAAAGTTCATTCTTTAATTAATGGCATTTTTTTTATTATTAACTTTTACATTAAATTTCTCTTTGATTCAAAAATTATATTTTAACTTTATAAATATCGAAACGTTTAAACAAATCAAACTTTTCTAAACCGTGAGTTACTTTCTTCGTAACTTTTCTGAATAAAATTTTTTTCAACAATTTGTTGATTTTATAGATAAGTAAATGTTACGCATCAATATTCACAATAACTATTTTTTATTTCTTGCAAATTTTTAAATTCATCGAGTTTACATGCTAAATTTTCATCATATTGTTACTTAGAAACTCTTGGTTCATACGAATTTATTTGCTTTCTTTCATATGTTTGTTTACTTTTTTTTTAGTTTACTTTTTCAATAAAAAAATGCTTTAATGTCTAAATGATGTCGTTCATTTAATAATTCTAAAACATAAACAGATAAATAAAAATTCAGAAACGTTATTGTTTTTAAAATTTTCAATGAGGCTTCAAACCCTAATCCATAAATTATGTGGAATTTATTTGCTTAGTAATACCTATTATAAGACAGAAATTTTTCGTTATAGTTTTAAAAAATATTGGCATTTTTTTTCTTAGATTAATAATCTTTTCAAAAGTGTTACTTGGAAGCAGACGTGGTTTTACGGGGATGAGGGGGTAATTGTAAACCCCCTCCCCCAAAGATGATTTTCAAGTAATATTTGGTTTTTTGAGGAACATACTCAGCTATGTAAAAATAGAAATAGTCATAGTCTCCCCCCCCTCCCCTCATTTTATTTGTATAATCGCCTCTGCTTGGAAATTGTAATTAAAGAAACACTAACTTTCTTATAAATTTTCGATTACATCTATTCACATATCTAATTCATTAAGTCCCGTTATTAACGGTATTAGTATATATATTATTTCGCAAACAGATAATATTACTTCAAATCTGCTATATCTCTGTAAGACATTGCATCTACTCAGTACGTTTGGTAAAGTTAGAATATTGACGGATAAATGTTACAACGTCAATTGAGCGTAAGCTTAATTGACTGGATTGGCGACAATAAGCAGCTTTGTAAAATTTTTAAACCTCAAACCTTTTTTTTTTTTTTGTAAATTTTCATTCTTAGCGCATTAACCCAAGGTTGACCTTATGTTGGGTCGATGTTTATCAGCGTAATATATGATTATTAGTTTGGAATAAAGATGTGTAATGGAGTAGGGTTAGAAAAAAATGAAAAACTATAGCACATTTGTACTGTTCAACTGTAGCACGTTTGTACTGTTCAACTGTAGCACGTTTGTACTGTTCAACTGTAGCACGTTTGTACTGTTCAACTGTTGTGTTTAAAGAAAAATTTTTAGTTTAACTCAATTAATGTCAACTTTATTTTAGATTTTTATTTTCACTTAATTATTAATATCGTCGTTCTGCGATTAAAAATTTTGAAATCTTCTCTCTATATTGAAATGCTTATTTATAACTATTATTGGCTTATCTTATTTTTGTAAAAATGTTAAGCGGTTATTGATTTCTATGTTAGTTTTATAAAAAAAATGATTTTATCATCAAATTAATCACATAAGTTATAATTTGGCTTTGAAAGTTTTTATATTCAACGCGTGCTATTTTTGTTAAAACTTGTGATATTTTTTAAAAAACACTGTAAAATATGTTGTACCGTTTGTAAAGAATACAAACAACTGTTAGAATTTAAAGCACTACCGTTTTACCATTAAAGCAAATAAAACTTTTCCAAAATCTTTTTGCATTATACATATGTTTACTTTTTTTTTCTTAACCTTAAAAGTTTCTTCATTTGCATTATCTCATTTTTTTTAAATGAATAATAAATGTCAAGCTATTAAACATTAAATTTTTTTATTTGAATAATTTAATAATCAGAATCATTTCTTAAAATCTTTCGATTAAATGGATTATTTAAAAACTTTATCAGACAGATGCTTCTTTTATGATTTGTATTTGTAAAGTTTATCATCTATCAGATGCTTTTTTCACAAATACTTATAAACTTCTTGTACAAAATTGTTATATTTATCTCTAAAAATATAAATATAAAGCTATAAATTAAAATAACATAAAAAAAAAATGTAAAAAAATATTTAAACTATAAACAAAAAAATATATAAAAAAGTAAATAAAATATAAAAAAGATATTTTTAATTCTTTTGGTTTATTAACGTAATAAGACCTTATAGGTTTGTCACCCCGACCTAATAGGTTTGTCACAGAGCACCGCGGAAAAGCATGACGAAGTTTCCGCTGTTTATTTTTTTCGCCGTTCTTGTTTTTTTTGGCCTAATTAGGCATCAATTTTTGAACTTTTTGAAGCGTGACCTCCAATCTCAACTTTGTTCCTAGACTGTATACTATTATTATAGTATTTTCATACCTTTTTTAGTTAATTTTAAAAGAATCAAGGAGAAATTATAGTTTTTATATTGTTAAAAATAACATTTTTATAAAAATGGATCATTAAAAAAATCATTTGAATGTATCATAATTAAATTAATTGCGATATATTTATATTATATTTTTAATGATCATTTTTATTGAACAGTTTAATTGTGTGCATTTGCACCAATACTGTTACAGTATTACAACTACAAGTAACAAAACTACTTTCTGTAGTTGTCAAACTTTTTAATCACTTGAATTATTAATCATTAATAATTAATAGGCCGGGTGAATACCCAGTAATTACTCAGTAATTGGTCAGCTTTACGTGAATAAAAGTTAATAGTTTATGCGTTAAAAAAGTTTGGCAACTATTCACAATAGTTGTGTTAATAGTCAGTATTGGTGCAGATACATACAATAGTACTATTAAGTGGCATATTAAGACTTTTTGAGGCCTGGATCTCTTTTATAGCAGGAGGTCTCTTTCCTTGTCATTAATCAAAGATTTTATTTTCAGAGTTTCTTTTAAAAAAATTTTTTATTTTGAACTGGAGCCCAGGATGTAGACCCCTGACTTCCCCTTTAATCTGACACTTTAGTACTGTAAGCATTTGCACCAATGTACTGCGTCAAGTTTTCTTACCTCAGAGAAGATATATATTTTATACCAAATACTATATATACTATTTATGCATTGTCAAACATTCGAGGTTTTTGTTAATCTTTATTAGAGAATTGAGTTTAAAAAATTCAAATATACAAACTCAAATATTAAAAGCAGGTGCAAAAATAAATTTGTTATATGCTGTTTAGCTTAAACTTTTAGAAGTTTTATTGATCATTTTATATGTTCAATTATTAAATATTTTAAGTTTGCAGTTGTGAAATAACCAAGTTGATTTTAAACAAAAAAACCTAGTCAGTAATTTCTGCTTGAAGCAAACTAAATACTTGATATGTTAAAACGTATATTTTTACGTTGTGGTTGTATTCTTTAAAAATCTATTCACATATATTAGACCTCAAAGAGAGTTATTTTATATTTGTATGAAATCCATATTTAAAAAGAGTGATATAAGAAAACTTTTAAGAGCTGCATAGATTTCACGCACTGTAAAACATTTTATTTATAATCCACCATACAATTAATAAGGTTTAATTTCATTTGTTTTAAGAAGAACCAGGCAACTTTATTTTTAATTGAAAAAAAGATTTGATAAATATTTTTAATAAAGGTCTGCAAGTTTACAACAAGGCCTTTAAAGAAGTTTTTTTTCCAACATCTTTAAAGCCTTCTTTTTTTAAAGATGCAACTAAATAAAAGTGTTATCTTTTTAATTTTCTTTTTTACTTAGTTGTAAATGTTCAATCTAATAGATAAGTAAGTTTTTATTTTTGTTAATTTCATTACGTGTGCGATTGTATTTGCTAAACAGTTAACTCTCAGTTATTGGAGCTGGCACTCAATAAAATTTCACAATTATTCGCGGACACATCATTAAAGAGAATGGTTTAGATTTTGCAAAAGAATTTAAAATAACGGATTTTAAGGCTTTGGAGGGGTGACCAGATCGGTGGTAAAATTAGACATAATGTTGTTTTTTGAACTATTCCTGCCGAGGAAAGGTCGTGTACAGAGGAAACGACAGCAAGTTAGGAGCAGACAAATTTGCCCACGATCCTTCTAAGGTATGAATTGAGCTGGCAATAAGCAAAAAAATATTAACTTTTTTTGTTTATTGCACTTTCATCAGTAGAGACTTTTTAATCATAAGAAATGTTTATTAGATGAAAAGAAATGTTTATAAGCCAATAAATATTCTTTACGTTTAAAAAGTCTACAATGACGAAAGTGCAATAACAACAACAAAATTTTTTGTTACACTCTCGTCCTTTTATTTTAAGCCGCTTTACCAAGCAGTGGTTTCACTAAGTAAATGCTTTACGGGTGCCCCATTACTAGATTTTGTTGCGTTGCAAAAAGGATTAGCGCTAATTAAAAATGCTTTGATATTTCACAGTCATAGTCTGGAAACGCGGGCCGTTTTCTTAAAACACAAAGTTCCTCTCTATACTAGTGCTCAGCCTACTTTAGAGTGCATCAAATTGTAAACACTGTATTTTGCTATAGATTAGTTACTTATA